GTCCTGAGGAGAGCCCAGCACAGCCCTGGAGCTCCACAGGGCAGTCCTGCCCCAGCTCTGTGCCGTGTCCTGGCGCTGCACACCCTGAGCTCGGTGTCCAGGCTCGCTGTCCAGCAGGATGGACGGTCCGGAGCGGGTTTGGATTGTTGGGAACCCCCTGCCATCGCTCTGTCCCCAGCCAGCAGCTCTGGGCCAGCTCCAGGGGTGGCTCAGGCGGTGGCTGAAGCCTCCAGCGAGCAGCGAGGGAGGTTTTGACTCGGCTCCAAGCCTTCTTCACMCGCTGCCATCCCATGGCGGCCGAGCGGGGAACAAACGGGGCACAGACGGGAAAAGGTCAGCGAGACGCTGCCTCTGAGTGCTGACAGCACGGGCTGAGCCAACAAAGCTCCCTCAGACACCAGGCCAGGCTCAGGCTGCCTGCTCAGCGCTGCTGGGACAGGAGGAGGACATGGCTGAGGCTGTGGGGACCCCGCTGAGGCTCCTCTGACCCCACAGACACAGTGGGGACGGGAGCAGAGCGGGCAGCGGGGCTGCGGCCACTCCCAACCACTGCCAGCACAGCTTTTCCGAGGATTCACAGCCTCCTGAGCCTCAGCTGGACCTGGCAGATCTTAGGACAGAACAGGACAGGGCTGATTGATCTGATCTGATCTGATCTGATCTGATCTGATCTGATCTGATCTGATCTTCCCAAACACGACAGGGCTGATCTCTGTCCACTGCTGACCAATCCAGCAAAGGACAATGGCCAAACCCCAAAGGGTCACTCCCAAGGGGACCCTCCCCACTGCAGGAGCTGGTGGAGGTGAGGAGGGGCTGTCCTGGGATGTTTGTAGGGTCAGAGTGTCTTGGTCACCCCAGCTGGGCCTGGCAGTGTCCCACTGGACACTCCAGGATTCCCTGAGCCCCAACACCCCTTGCTGAGGCCAGTGTCCCAAAAGGTGGTGTTTAAGGTCCCTTTTGGGGTTTCTCTGGTCACTCCATGGTCACTCCATGGTCACTCCATGGTCACTTCATTGGTCACTCCATTCCCAGTGCCTGTTTCAGGGGGGTTGTGCCTTCCCCAGGACCCCCAGCCCAGCTGGGCAGTCCAAGGTCCCAGAGGGACCCAAACCCACAGGAGGAACCAGCTGGCCCCACATCTCCCTGCCCTACACATTCCTGTGCCCAGGTGCCATCTCCTGTCGGTTTCTCCCTCCCCTCTGCAAAATCCCAGAGTTTGGGATTTGGGATTGGGTCAGGAGCAGCCCCATTTTGTTCCCCCTGCTGCCCCAGCAGCAGCTCCTGAACACTCCCGGATCACCA